GCGGGCCCACCTGAGGCATGTTAAATGCCCAGTATGGCAGCCTGACACACAGCAGGCCCCAGATAAATGCTAGCTCCTTTCCTTCCCAGCTCACCTTGTTTCTTCCTTCTACCCATCTTTGCCAGTGCCTGGATCTCAGCCAGCCAAGCCCTCCCTTCCCACACTCTCCCAAGTCTTTCCAAATCCTGCTCTCCTGCAGTAATGATCAGTTTTTTAAAGTCATCCCCCCAAACCTGGGAGCCTCCCCATGGAAAGGAGTGGGTGCAGAGTAGCCTGGCCTGATGGTCCACTGGCTGGATGCGCTGCCATCTGATGCCAGGGAGGGAAGGGTGAGGTCAGAAGCCCCTCAGGGGTGCAAGGACCCAGGGAAGTCCAGGTGGGCATGAGGCCCTTAAAAAGAGGAAAAACTAACTTGGGGAGACAAGGCGGGGATAGAGAGGAGTGCCTGGTTCAGGGGAGGGGAGTCTGAGTACAGTGCAGAGTTCCCAACTCTTTGCAAGCTCATTTGAAAAGTCTAGAAGATGATGCTGAGGAGGGGTGAGGGGCTGGAAGAAAGTGGCTTCAAGTCAAACCTAGGGGCAGACCAGGGGCCAGGTGGAAAGAAGCCCACTTCTTGGGGGTCAGGAGGCCTGGAGTGAGGCAACAAGGGCTGTGAACCAAAGCTCAGGTTACAGGTGGAGCAAGCCTGGCTCTGGAGTGCACCCGTGAGTGGCCGGGGCAGCACGAGTGATGCTTCCCAGGGTTACCTACCTGAGTAAGGTGAGAGCCTGTAACCGAGCTCTCCCCAGCCCAGCCTCTGCAGGGATCTCCCACTCTGCAGCATTGGAGCAGACATCCCACCGGGCCTGCGCCCCCAGCCTGTGCACAGGGAGGCAAGCTGGGAAACCCAGCAGAAGGGGAGAAGCCAGGGAAGCTCATTCCGCACCCGGGGCAGAGGCTTAGAGCAGAAGCTACTCCCTTAGCTCCTGCACCTCTTGTCTGCTGTTGGGAAGTGGGTTTTACTTTCACTTTCTAGAGTGACAGGTGGTCCTTTCCCTAAAATCTATTCTTCTCTGCTTGTGAGAGTAATATGTTCATCACAGAACTTTCAGAAAATGAAGAATGGTATTTTCTAACATCCATTTGTATCTTATTTCTTTCCAATTTTTATCTATGTATATACACCTGTTTAACATAATTGGCATCTTACTGTCTCTACAGTTTGGGATCCTTGTTCTTTTCCAATTCACGTTATACATGAGAATTTGCCAGTCCTCATCTAAGCACGTAATGAAATTTTACACACCATGGTTAATAGCTACGTAAATTGCATCATGTAGCTGTAACAAAAGTTCTTCAAGCAATTTTCTAGTACTGGCTTTTTAGTTGCTTCAGATTGTTTGCTCTTTTACATGAGAACCATATTGGGTTACTTCACCTATCTTTCAAGACCCACATCAATTCCCACCTCCTCCAGAAAGCCTTCCCAGACTCCTTCAACACCCAGCAATATCTCCCACCTCTGAATTACCACCACCTGTAGTCCATCTGACACGGCTCAGCATGGAGCCCGTGCATCAGTCACTGCTGTCCTAGTGGCGGGCCAGTCTCAGGTCCAGAACTCCACTGCACGTATCCCTGGGAGCTCCCCAGCACTGTGCACACAGCAGGTGCTCAATACGTGCTGACTGCTGACCCCTCAGATTGCATGAGCCTGATGAGCTCCACCTGCCAAAGGGTCAGGATTGCAGGCGCCCACAGTGGCCTGCTCTGACATTCTGCTTCCTCGTAGGGCACTGGAGAAGTAAAAAGGCCCCCTCTCATTCAGCCCTGAGTTTAAAGACCCAGCCACCTCCATGTGAAAGTCAGCCAAGACCATCAAGGCTCAAGCACTGAACTTCTCTCCCAAGTTGACCGGCGATCAGCAACCATCTGCCCCCCACCCCAGAACAGAGAGGGCCCAGGCGCTGGTGCCAGCCAGTTAGGGTTCCAATCCCAGGCACTGCAGTGGCCAGGCAGGGCTGCCAGAGGCCTGGCTTGAGTTTTTCAGTGGGCATGACCCGGGCAGAGAGAGAAGCTGGCTACAGAGCGCCCTACCCTAGACGCCCTGCACACTTCACTCCAGGCAGGGCATCCACTCTGTTCACAGAAATCCCCACCTGGCCTGCAGAGGCAACTGAATTTGCAATCTCTGGTCCTCAGACATGGAAATCTAAACCCAACACAGCCTTGCAGGCTCTCCACCTGCCAGTGGCATCCCTCATCTCCCCCATCCCCAGCGGCAACTCTGCAGCAGCCTCGCCCCCCACTCAGGCGCAGCCCTCCCGGTGCCTGGGACACCCGCCTCCTCACTGCTGCCTCCCGAAATCCTCCCTCAAACAGCACGTCCCCAGGAGGTCAGAATTCCACTCTCCCCGCTCTGCTGTCCCTCCACCCTGCCCGCTTCACACATCTGGATGAGAATGAGCTGCATATGTGTCCCTCTCCCGTGCACCATTTTAAGGTAGGGGTAGGTTATTCACCACTGAGATCCGTCAATTTGCAGTGAACTCCCCATCCCAAGGCAAGTGGGGACACCCAGCCAGGTGACTGGCTGACACCTGGAGGAGGTGTGTTGGTGGTGGGGGAGGGGAGGGACTTAGGCCCCACCTCCAGCCCTTGGGGATGAGAAAAATTAAAAATAATAGCTGTGGGCTTCCCTGGTGGCGCAGTGGTTGTGAGTCCGCCTGCCGATGCAGGGGACACGGGTTCGTGCCCCGGTCTGGGAGGATCCCACATGCCGCGGAGTGGCTGGGCCCGTGAGCCATGGCCGCTGGGCCTGTGCTTCCGGAGCCTGTGCTCCGCAACGGGAGAGGCCACAACAGTGCAGGGGACACGGGTTCGTGTCCCGGTCCGGGAAGATCCCACATGCCGCGGAGCGGCTGGGCCCGTGAGCCATGGCCGCTGGGCCTGTGCTTCCGGAGCCTGTGCTCCGCAACGGGAGAGGCCACAACAGTGAGAGGCCCGCATACAGCCAAAAAAAATAAAAAAATAAAAAACCAAAATAATAGCCGCCATTTATTGAGCTACTCATGCCAAGCACCTTAAGACATTACAATTGCTCCCTTGATGAGGCAGGCACAATTACCATCCCACTTTATAGATGAAGAAATCAAGGCTCCAAGAGGTAAAGCAATCTGCTAAGGAAGTAGGCTAGTAGGTGGCAGAGTGGGGATTCAAATCCAGGCCGTATCAGTGGTGGAGAGTCTTGAGCACTCGGGTAAGTGCAACCATATGAGTGACCAGCACAGGATTCCAGGATCCCAGAATTCCTTTCCTGAGGGCTCACAGCCCTCAGTTCACCAGCCGAAGGCTCCCCCCCGCACCAACCCCTGCCAGACTTCCCTCCAAAACCAACAGCAATCTTCAAGTCTGTTTGCTGACAGAGGAGATGCTTCTCTCACTATCGCTCAGTTCAGTAAACACCGCTACGTGCTTTACAAAGTGCCAGACACTGCTCTGGCTCTTGGCAGGTGGGGGACAAAAGACCACAGGATCCCTCCCTTCCAGGGACACTGAATGAGTCCTACAGAGGAGGAAAGGAGCAAGGGGTGGATGGGGCAGGGCCAAGGGCTTCCTGGAAGAGGTGGTGACCAAGTGCATCTTGAAGGCTGAGTGTTCCTCCACTTTCTGGGCCACCACCCCCTGCCCCAGGACCCTCAGACACACCGGACCAATGGCTGCTCACAGAAACGCTCCACCTTTCCAGTCTCTGGGCCATTACCAGGCAGTAACCTCCATGCAAATGCTCCTTCATGAAACAAACAGACAGACACAGACACACACAGGCACACACATCCCTAACCTGCCGGTGAAATTCCTCTGTGTGCCAAAGACCCAACTCAAATCCCACCCCGTCAATCATCCCCCAGGCAGGCCTGCATTCACCTCCTCTGTGTTCCTGCAACACACCTGTGGCTCTAAGATGGCACTTACATTCCAGCGGGACACACACATACACACACACGATCCCCCGCTAACTCTTGCACGTGGTGGATAGTCAACAAATATCTGCTGAATTCAATTAAATGGGATAGTTTGCTTAAGTGCTTACAGCCTTAGGGTAGCTGCATGGGCTAAAACGCAATAACCAATTCAACAATATATGACACAATTCAATTAAAACAGTGGAATGAAAAGGGGCTGCCTGACTGTGTGACCTGAAAAAAGCCCACTCTGCCTGCCACCCTCCATCTCCTCATCTGAAATCCGAGGCTAGTCAGGCCTGGTGGGTATCATCCATCACAGGGAAGTTGTGAAGATTCAATAAGGCAACACTCGGGAGGCACCTGCACAGGGCCTGGTACATGGGGCTACCCAGCAGTGCCAGCTACTGCCACCTGGTCCAAGGGCACATACACACTTGGAGTCATCAGCAGTCTGAGGGCAGGCAGGCACGCTCCCAGCAGATGGAAGCCCTACTCAGTGCTTTTCAAACCTCTGTGAACTATGACCCATAGTAAGAAATACATCTTACGCTGGGACCCCATATACACAAACTAAACACAACTGCAATAAAAAGTCCATGGAGGGACTTCCATGGTGGCGTAGTGGGTAACAATCCACCTGCCAATGCAGGGGACACGGGTTCGATCCCTGGTCCGGGAAGATCCCACATGCCGCAGAGCAACTAAACCCATGCGCCACAACTACTGAGCCCGCATGCTGCAAATACTGAAGCCCGCGCTCCTAGAGCCCGTGCTCTGCAACAAGAGAAGCCACCGCAATAAGAAGCCTGCGCACCACAACAAAGTGTAGCCCCCGCTCGCCGCAACTAGAGAAAGCCTGTGCGCAGCAACGAAGACCCAATACAGCCAAAAATAAATTAAAAAAAAAACAAAAGTCCATGGAACACAGCTCCTCATGGTGCGGGGTGCATGCTGATACTGTATCTTTCACCTTCTTTCTATCTCATTTCCAAACTGATTCAATAAACCATGTACAGGGTGCCCTACAGCTGGAAAAGCCATGCCCTCACTCACCCAGGGTGTCGGAGCCGCTCTCCACTGTCTCGTTGACCTTCCTCGCAACTCTGGCCACGGCCTCACCCATCTTCCTCAGCATGCAGACTCAGGTGTCCTGCTGCCAGCCACCAGGCTGGTCTGCTGCTCATAAAGGGACCTGCGCTTGGGGAAGACACAGGGCCATGAAGCACCTGCCCACCACCAGCCAGGGCCCCACCCCTGACCCACCCTCCCCGGGGAATCAGGAAGCACGCAGGGAGCGGTCCAGGCCACTCACCTCCTCCTGAGGGGCCCAGAGCCCAGGCCACATCCGGCTCATTGTTCAGAGTGACTGATCTGCCCTACCAGTTTCCTGGGAGGATTGACACATATGACCTTGCCAGGGCTTGAACCAGTGGCCAGGAGGGTGTGAGGATTTAGGTGTGTGCTGGCCTGTGAATCACTTAACAGGCAGAGCAGTGGGGAGAAGGCGGGGTACAGCCAAGTGCAAGGAGAGACACCTGTCCCTCCATCCCACAGGCTCGGAGCCCAGTCCACAGGACAACCGCTCCAGCTCCCAGGTCTCCTCAGCCACCTCTGCCAGGTTCCTCCCCGGGAAGCGGGGACACAAAGGCAAATGAAACACAGCCCTGCCTGGTCAGAGCTCACTGTCTGGCTGGTGGGTGGTTTCTAAGAATTCCCTTTCCATGCAGCAATATGGAGGGAAAGTTACAGTTTTAGCCACAGATCTTATTGTTAGCCTGATGCTGAGTTCATTGGCAAGACCACAAGGAAAAATGAAGGGGGGCAGGATCACTGGGGAGAAAAGGCTTAAAGAAGGGTGAGGACACAATCAAAACGATCAGGTGTAGAAGACATAAGGGACTCGGGACATGTCTCCAACTCCGTTTTATTAGAGAAGGAAACTGAGGCAGAGAGAGGGACTCAATGACCTGGCCAAGGTCAAAGTAAGTAAATGGCACTAACCTGGCCCAACTCTACATCCCGTGCTCACTTCTTTACAAAAGTCACCCACATCACCAGTGGCAGCACCCCATGCAGATAATGAATTTGAGGCCAACATCAGTGCCCTTTTTTGCTCCTGGATCCCAATCCCAGATCCACAGACAGCTCAAGGAGCTCTAATGAACACATCTGAGGGTCAAAGGCAGAAGAATGTGAAGGGCAGAGAGAAGGGGGTGAGGGTACAAACAGATACCAAGAAAAAGTCCACATGTGCTCAACTGGACAGGGAGGCCCAGTCAAGCCCACTCAGCTGCTCAGGGAGAGTTAGTGATGAGTTCAGTATGTGCCTGCATCTCACCAAGGAAGAAGACAGGCCTAATGCCCAACTCTGACATTTATTAGTTGTGAAGCCTTGGGAAAGATTCCTAACTATTCTGAGCTCCAGTTTCTTCATCTGAGTAGGAGATCTAGTAATACCTGCCGCAGTGGGTTCATATGAGGACTGAACAAAAAATACATATCTTTCTAGACCAGGGCTCAGGACATGTAAGTTACTTAATAAATGCTAGCTGAAATGATGAAACAGTACACGTGCAGATATGATGCCAGCACTTAATCCCAGTTACATACCCATATGACTCAAACAAACAAGTCAGTGGAACTCATCTTTAAGGAATGAGTAGAATTTCCTTCTCTCCACCTCCAGGAAGTCTTCCCAGATTGCCCCAGCCCTCAGTGTTCTCTCCTCCTTAAGTTTCAGTAGCACGCAATGCCTTAGCTCAAACCACTTGGGTTATTTATGAGCTTTTAAAAATATACATACTTATCCCCACCAGCTGGCCTGCAGACAGCTTAAGGCAGGGAGGAGCTATATACTATGCTTTTCCCCTGCACTTTACACCACATACTGAAACAGATGTTCAGTTAGTTTCCCCCAATGGTGATGATGATCAACAGCCATCATTTGGGTTCCAAATTTAAATACAAGTCAACTGACTCTTACAACAAAGATACCATCTAAATGAGAAGGGTCATAAGTCCTAACAATGCCAGGTGGATAACTTGTAGAAGGTGGTCCAGGGTAGAACAGCAGGGAATAGTGAGGACTATGGAAAACTGGACCTGACACCTTTATCATGCTACCTTGAAGACCAACCCCCTAAGCCTGAGTCACAGCAATGTTGCTGGAATCTTGGTGACTCAGTCTAATGCCTTTATGAATAAGAACACTGAGGACCCAAGAAGGGAGGTAAATCAGCCAAACAGAAACGAAAAACCTAGGTCTCCTAACTCCCAGCCCAGGATTCTTCCTACATACCATGCTCCCTCCTTTTCCTATCTCCAGTATTCATCATCAGTAACCACAAACATGTATTGAGCATCTACTAGGAACAGGGCATAAGAATGAAGAGGGAGGAAGGAAATATACGAAATAGCTCTGACTTATGAGCTTCTGATGAGGAAGACCTTTCTAAGGAACATCACTGAGGCAATCCTGGCCTCACACAGAGACGAAAAGGAAGGTAAATCTCCAAGCTACCCAGGGTCTGTGCTAACCCTGTGAGATTGCATAGGCTACTTTCAGTCAGGCACTATGCCTGCAATTCTACTAGCTGCTACCAGGTGGGAGCAGTGGTGCCTTAAGCTAAAGAGCCTATTGAAGAAAACTAGCCAAATTAAAAACCTTACCCCTGGTGGTAAGCTCAGACACCCTATAGTGTGGGTCAGAGATTGGACATTGAAGCAGGAACAGCCTGTAAAGTCTAGGTGTCAGAGTAAGTCACTAGGAGGACAGGACCCTGACATTCCAGAGGATGCTCTGGATACAGCACAGATGTGCCCTAGGCCCCCAAGAGGTTCCGGCTACCTAAAATCACCAACCCCACTAACTGGCTAGGAAACCACCCTCCCTTCACCTAAAACTACCCATTTCCCAAGGGAGAATTTCTTATAAATTCCAGCTGACAGTCCCTCTCCCAGGTCAGGTGACCAAGGCCTGTCACTTTTTGGCATGGGCAGGGCTGAAATGGGAGGCTGGCAGGGCCATATGTGGTATAAGGCCCAAGATGGGGTAGGAGGGCCCCAGAACTGAGGGGAGAACAAACTTGAGATGACGAGAGTCTGGAGTGGGTCCCCAAAAGAGGTCCTACAAGGTTGTCCAACTTTGCTGACTGCTCCTTCCAGCCCCAACCCAACACTGGACCTCTCTGACCAAAAAGTAGCAAGAATTTATTGAGCATGTAACAGGAGCCCTCAGAGACAGGGGGCGGGGGAGAAATAAGGCAAGCTGCTCTTCCTTTCTTTGGTTTTAAACTGTTTTTAAGAAAAATAGAGAATTGTCTGAGTCACATATGAGTGATGGAGAGAACTATGGACCCACTCCTCACTGAGTGAGAAGCCTCCTAGGCAGGGCCACCCTAGGACATGAGGGGCCCCTATCTATGCAAACAATTTAAGTCAACCAAAATCAGTGTGTCAGCACCATTCTGGCTGCCCAGTCTCATGCAATTCCATGAAAGAAAGACCTTGCCAGCCAGTGGGAGCAATCAGCACGCAAGGCAGCCCTCCTGGAACCAGACCACAACCAAAGGGCCCCAAGACAACCCAATCCTACAGGTAGGCTCCTTGAGGCATCTGGTCAACCCCACAGGCAGGGGTAGTAGTAGCAGAAAATCAGAGAGTGTCCCAAAGCGGAGAAACAGGAACCACCAGCCCATATGGGTCTGTTCTGGGTTTGGGGTCCCAGTCATCAGAGGTCAGCCTTAGAAAACTGCTCCAAAGTGCTCCAAATCCTGGAGACCCTTCAACACAGGGTCCAAACTCATACTTACACTGCTGCTGTCTCAGCAATACATCCCTCTCCACATCCCTCCCCAACTCCTCTTTCTTCAGAGTGTGCATCATAGTCCTAGGAAATGTTTAAATCCAACAAACGTGTGCTGGGTTCTTCTATAAGGCCCTCACTGGAAGAGTAAAGGTACAGAGACAGGGCTTAGGCCAGAATAAGCTTCCCATCAGGTAAGAGAGACTCAGGTGACAAAAGGCAGAATGAGGGCTTCCCTGGCCCAGTGGTTGAGAGTCCACCTGCCAATGCAGGGGACACGGGTTCGTGCCCCGGTCTGGGAAGATCCCACATGCCGCGGAGCGGCTGGGCCCGCGAGCCATGGGCGCTGAGCCTGCATGTCCGGAGCCTGTGCTCCGCTACGGGAGAGGCCCCAACAGTGAGAGGCCCGCGTACTGCAAAAAAAAAAAAAAAAAAAAAAATGTCAGAATGAGCCAGATGCTGGAGGCCATAAGGCCAGGCCCAAGGACAATGTGTGCCTTCTGCCATGAAGGCATATGGCATGGCTGGTAAGAGGGAACAGAGGCAGGGGCTGAGCAGAAGTACCCAAATGATGAGAGAAAGAGGGAGACAGGAAGCCAGTCTGTCCCCAGATCACTGGGGGAGGGGCTGGAAGCCACCCTGTAAGTCGGTCCTGTTTCTCTTCGGGGAACTATGAAAGGTTTTCTGAGAGCAGCCTAATCCAGCCAGAATTTTGGAAAATTATCACTGTTGTGAGCAGTCCCATTGTCAGATGGAAATACCACCCTCCTCACTGGGTTGTTTTGAGAAGTAAATGGCATATAACTTTCGAGAAATCTTTGCAAGCTGTCGCACACCAAGGCATTACTGATATGTGATTAAACTGCTACAGATGGTAAGTTAGGATATAATAAATGGAATGTCAGAAAAGAAGTTGTCCTGCTTTGTGAGAGCTGGCAATAGAGTTCTCCTGTATCTATAACCTGGTTTCACCTGGATACAGGTTTGTGGGGGATGATTTTTGCTTAAACACTGACCCTAACCCTCTGCCAGGGCTCCAGCCCTCATCAGTGAGAACTCTACCTTATCTGAAGCCCCGAGATCTGTGCAAAGGAGCTACTGTGACACCCCGTCCGCACCAGCTGCTCCTATATTTAGTTACTGGTGTGGGCACTTGGGAACTTTAGAGCCTGGCAGCCGCTCCGAAGGGCAACTCGAGCCTCTTGCTCCATGTATGCGAGCTCCCCCCACTCCCACCCCCACTGGCTGCAGCGGGTCCTCTGGACCGCCCAAGCTAAGGAGCCACTGGGGAAGTGCGAAGCAGTCGGCTGGATCGGACCCAAGTAGCCCCG